CTTATATACTCATTCTCTCCAATTTTTCTTTATCTAAATCATTTGATACCCACATCACCTTACTCTTTTCTATGCTCACTTTCAACTTTCTACCTTTACACACACTCCCAAACTCGTCCACTAACCTTTGCAACTTTTCTTTAGAATCTCCCATAAGCACAGTATTATCAGCAAAAAGCAACTGTGTCAACTCCCATTTTGTACTTGATTCCCCATAATTTAATCCCACCCCTCTCCCCAACACCCTAGCATTTACCTCCTTCACAACCCCATCTATAAATATATTAAACAACCATGGTGACATTACACATCCCTGTCTAAGACCCACTTTTACCGCGAAGTAATCTCCCTCTCTCCTACACACCCTAACCTGAGCCTCAATATCCTCATAAAAACTCTTTACAGCATTTAGTGACTTACTACCTATTCCATACACTTTCAAAATCTGCTACATTGCTCCCCTATCCACTCTATCATATATCCTTTTCTAAACCCATAAATGCAATGAAAACTTCCCTACCTTCATAATAAACTTATTCCCTTATAATTTTACAATCTCTTTTTCCCCCCCTTCCCTTTATATAAAGGAACCATACACACACACTGCCAATCCTTAGGTACCTTCCCTCTTTCATACAATTATTAAACAAAAATACCAACCACTCCAATGCTATTTTCCCATCCCCCCCCCCCTCCTTGTTTTTAACATTTCTGTCTTAATCCTGTCAGTTCCATTTGCTTTACCCATTTCATTCTACTTACTGCCTGACACACCTTCCCCATACTCAAATCCTGCTCTTCATCACTCCTAAGAGATGTTATACCTCCCTGGCCAGAGCATGAAATTACTGCCTTCCCTTCTTTATTGGCATTTAAAAATTCCTCAAAATATTCCCACCATCTACCCATTACCTCCAGCTCCCCATCTACTAACTCTCTCACTCTGTTTTTTTACTGACATATCCATTTGTTCCCTAGGCTTTCTTAACCTGTTTATCTCACTCCAAATTTTTTCTTATTTTCATCAAAATTTCTTGAGAGTGCCTCTCCCACTCTATCATTTGTTCTCCCTGTATACTCTCTCACCACTCTCTTCACCTTTCTTTTACTCTCCATATACTCTGCCCTTCTCATACCATTTCTGCTTTGTAAAAACCTATCATAAGTTACCTTTTTCCCTTTTATTGCACCCTTTACTTCATCATTCCACACATCACTCCTCTTTCCTCCTGCATCCACCCTCCTATAGCCACAAACTTCTGCCCCACAATCTAATACTGCATTTTTTAAATCAATCCCATCTGTCTTCAACCCCCCAACTACCCATACTTGCACTAGCCCACCTTTCTGCCAATAGTTATATCTCATCCTAACTTCATCCTCCCTTAGTTTAGAAACTTTCACCTCTAACTTACTTGCTGTTGACATTTTCCTTTGGTCCCATCTACCTCTTACTCTAACTGTAGCTACAACTATATGAGGATCTGATATATCTGTTGCCCCTCCATAAACATGCACATCCTGAAGCCTACCAATCAACCTTTATATACCAATACTTTTTTTTTTTTTAACAAGTCCGCCATCTCCCACCGAGGCAGGGTGACCCAAAAAGAAAGAAAATCCCTCAAAAGAAAATACTTTCATCATCATTCAACACTTTCACCTCACTCACACATAATCACTGTTCTTGCAGAGGTGCTCAGAACACGACAGTTTAGAAGCATATACGTATAAAGATACACAACATATCCCTCCAAACTGCTAATATCCCGAACCCCTCATTTCAGAGTGCAGGCATTATACTTCCCATTTCCAGGACTCAAGTCTAGCTATATAAAAATAACCGGTTTCCCTGAATCCCTTCACTAAATATTACCCTGCTCACACTCCAACAGATCATCAGGTCCCAAATATCATTCGTCTCCATTCACTCCTATCAAACACGCTCATGCACGCCTGCTGGAAGTCCAAGCCCCTCGCCCACAAAACCTCCCTTTCCCCTTCCTTCCAACCTTTTCGAGGACGACCCCTACCCCGCCTTCCTTCCCCTACAGATTTATACGCTCTCCATGTCATTCTACTTTGATCCATTCTCTCTAAATGACCAAACCACCTCAACAACCCCTCTTCAGCCCTCTGACTAATACTCTTATTAACTCCACACCTTCTCCTAATTTCCACACTCTGAATTTTCTGCATAATATTTACACCAAACATTGCCCTTAGACAGGACATCTCCAATGCCTCCAACTGCCTCCTCGCTGCTGCATTCACAACCCAAGCTTCACGCCCATATAAGAGTGTTGGTACTACTATGCTTTCATACATTCCCTTTTTTGCCTACATAGATAACGTTTTTTGTCTCCACATATACCTTAACGCACAACTCACCTTTTTTCTCTCATCAATTCTATGATTAACCTCATCCTTTATAAATCCATCCACCGACACGTCAACTCCCAAGTATCTGAAAACATTCACTTCTTCCATACTCCTCCTCCCCAATTTAATATCCAATTTTTTTTTATCTAAATCATTTGATACCCTCATCACCTTACTCTTTTCTATATTCATTTTCAACTTTCTGCCCTTACACACACTCCCAAACTCATCCACTAACCTTTGCAATTTTTCTATAGAATCTCCCATAAGCAAAGTACCATCAGCAAAAAGCAACTGTGTCAATTCCCATTTTATATTTAATTCCCCATAATTTAATCCCACCCCTCTCCTGAACACCCTAGCATTTACTTCTTTTACAACCCCATCTATAAAAAAATTAAAAAAACCATGGGGGACATTTTTACATCCCTGTCTAAAACCTACTTTTACACTGAAGTAGTCTCCCTCTCTTCTACACACCTAACCTGAGCCTCACTATCCTCATAAAAACTCTTTACAGCATTAAGTAACTTACCACCTATTCCACATACATATACTTGCAACATCTGCCACATTGCTTCCCTATCCACTCTATCATATGCCTTTTCTAAACCATAAATGCAAAAAAAACTTCCCTACCTATATATAAATACTGTTCACATATATGCTTCAAAGTAAAACTTTATCTAACACTCCCCTACCCACTCTGAAACCTCCTTGCTCATCGCAATCCTACATTCTGTTTACTCAAATTCTTTAAATTAAAAACCCACCATACATTTTCCGGGTGTACTCAGTAAACTTATTCCTCTATAATTTTTACAACTTTTTGCCCCCTTTTCCCCTTTATAAAAGGGGGACTATACACGCTTCCCAAATCCCTAGGTCCCTTTCCCCTTTTATACTTTTAAAAACAAAAATACCAACCACCCAACATTACCCCCCCTGCTTTTAACTTTTCTGCATGATCCCATCTTCCCAGTGCTTTCCCCCTTTCATTTATTAATGCCCCCAAAACACCCCCCCACACCACCCCTGTTTTTTTCATTCCAAAAGATGGTATACCTCCCTGGTCAGTGCAAAAAATTTCCGCCTCCCTTTCTTCCTCCTTTTTAAAAGTCCTAAAAATACTCTCGCCATTACCAAAACCCCATCTCCCATTACTAACTCCCCACTCGTTTTAATTGACAAACCCATTGTTTCTAGGCTTTCTTAACTTGTTTAACTCACCCCAAAAAATTTTTTCTTTTTTTCAAAAAAATTTCCCTTGCAGGCCTCCCCTCACATCTGCTCCCCTTTTTTTGCACTCTCCACCCCCTTTTCACCTTCTTTTACTCTCCATATACTCTCTTTCTTATAAACTTTGCTTTGAAAAAACCTCTCATAAGCTACTTTTTCTTTTTTTCACCCCCTTTATTTCCCCGTTCCACCTTTTTCTCGTGCCCCCACCCCCCAAACCACAAACTTTGCCCACATTCTAATATGCATTTTTAAAACTTTTCCAACCCTTTCAACCCCCCCCCCCTAATACTTGCCCAGCCCACCTTTCTAATAGTTGCAATTCTCCCCAAATTTCCCTCCCCCCTTAGTTTTTTCCCTTTTTCCTCCCTCTTGCTTGTTGTTGCCATTTTCCTCTTTTCCCATTACCTTACTCAAACTTTCTTAACTAAAAAATGATCCGATATTATTTCCCCCTCTATAAAGGGAATCCTGGAGCTACCCATAACCTTTTTCACAAAATAATCAACAAATTACTTTCATTATGTGCTATATATTCTTTACCTATTTTTTATCCTTTTTCATAAAATATGTATTACTTTTTACCAACCTCGTTTTACATTAGTTCAATTAAAAATCCCATTTCATTGCCCTGGAAACCCCCCAAAAATTTTAAACTACTACTCCTCCACAATATTTATACTCACTTTAGCATTAAGATCCCCAACCACAAGTACTTTCTCACTTACTTCAAACTCCCCATGCACTCACTCAACATTTCCCAAAATCTCACTCCACTACACTTCTCTCTTCTCCAGGTGCATAAACACTTACTATATCCCACTTTTCACATCCAACTCTTATTTTACTCCAAATAATCCTCGAATTTAAACATTTATATTGCCTCTTTTCCTGCCATAACTTATCCTTCAACATTATTGTTATTCCTTCTTAGCTTTAACTCTATTAGAAACCCCTGACATAATCCCATTTACTTTTCCCCTCTGAAAATCTCCTACCTCATTCAGCTTGATTTCAATTAGAGCCAGGATATCCAGCTTCTTTTCATTCATAACATCCACAATGTTTTATTTAATGCATAACAGTTTATGCTTGGTGCTGCTGAATATCTTAGTTTCTACCAAATCCCTCCTTACTGCTACTTTTATTATTTGAAACATTAAAATTTTTTTACAATATTTTTAACAATTCACTCTTCCAAAATTTAAAAATGTCTAAAATTTACCATCAATGAAACACTTATTTATTCAACAACCACAATCTAGATACATAAAGTTAAATTCTCTCTAACTCCAGAAAGTTTATATTTTTTCACTCTCCCAGAATGAAGGAACACTTATCTGTTGTAATGATGCTACAAAAACAGAAGTGTGACTGACCTTGTAGAGAGAGCTGAGAGGACTGAAGGGAGAGTGGAGCCCCTCGCACCTTATCTGCCCATGACTGCCCACTTGATGACGTGCTGCTGGAGAGGGAGGAGCTCGAAGCTGTTCTCTCAGTATTTCCTAGACCGTTCTGTTCATGACAAATAGAGAAAATATTTACATTTTTCACAAACACATTCACAATAATTTTATTTATGTGAAATACAGTGGTACCTCGGGATACGAACAGCTCAAAACTTGAACAATTATGTAAGTGTATTTATATAAGTGCCTTTGTAAGTGTATTTTTGGGGGTCTGAAACGGATTATTCTAATTTACATTATTCCTTATGGGAACAAATTTGTTCAGTATCGGCACTTGAACAGCCTTCTGGAGTGAAATATATTCGTATCCCTAGGTACTCAGTATATTAAAATTTCTTTAAGTATTACTTGCATGTTAAACAAGAGCACATAATTAATGAAATGCATTATATTACGTCAGCATTTTAGGGTAAAGCATTTTTAAAGAACCTGTGTGAAACATACTATTGTACATATGTAAACAGTAAACCCTGTTACAGTGTATCATATAATATGATTGAAAAAGTGCACCCAAAACTGCACGGCACACAAAATGTCATTGCTAAGTGCCACAAATCAATAAAAAAATACTAAGTAATGTATGAAATTTAATAGTATGTTTTGTAGGTTTTCACAACCTGCTCACCAATCCATGAACAATACTCACCAGCCTCCCACCATTTTCTGATAAGTCAGAGCAAGTTATGTTTATTAAACAGAGAAGATGGCACTCAGTGCCACTACTGAGTTAAAGTGACTGTATGTCAAAGAGGCTCATTTACTATACCCAAACCAACATGTGAACTCAAATATTTCAAATGTCCCATTAAGCCTTTTAACACCTGAAGCTTCATGAAACATGCTTAAAGATAAATTTTCACTGGATTTAAATAAAAAAGAACTTCCTGGTATACTATATAATGCTTAGCTTGTTTTACCAAATGGAAACACAGTAGTTAGAATGCTAAGTAATAAAGAGATCAAGGCAACCCATCTCTAGCATTACATTAGTGTTTGTCATCTTTTAATACAAATTTTGTACTTTATTTCTCAGCTTGTAATTAATTACAGTCCTTGCGATTACATACTTCATTATGTGTACAAGATTACATGCTTTATTATGTATACAACACATTACTCCTAACTACAAGCTTTATGTGTACAACACATTACTTCTAACTACAAGCTTTATGTGTACAACACATTACTTCTAACTACATGCTTTATTATATATCCAACACATTACTTTTAACTACAGGTTTCATTTTGTGTACATTAGTTCACAATTAAATGCAGTTCAATACATAATTGTTGAAATACAATAGCTTTAAAGCATGCAGAGAATATAAGTATGGCTCTACTGAAAACTTTTATTTGCAAAACTAAACTGCAATAAACCCACAATTTAACAGATTCTGGATACACTAGACAAACTCCTCTAGAACAGTTGATTCAGAAACAAAGAACAAAGTCTGCTGGTTAAAGACTTATCCATTATTGTTACTACCACATCAAAACACACTTATCTCTAGCCACCACAGTCATAATTAAATGAATCTGCTCTCTGTCCTCTTCTCCATTAAATTGAGTTTACTACATTAAAACATTCTTAAAAATATAAAAAAATGCATTATTAGGAAGGATGCAAAGAGCAAAAAATAAGCCAAACTCATATTTGATCTTTGAAAACTAAACAAGCAAATCTCAGATGCATACATTTACTGCTCCTAACTTTTACTGGATTATGATGCTACATCCACAATGACATATTTATTAGGTTCATCAAATTTAAGCTTATTCAGTAAAAGGACACAACTGCAACTGCGACATTTTATTGTGGCAACGTTTCGCTCTCCAGGAGCTTTGTCAAGGTAACATCTTGACAAAGCTCCTGGAGAGTGAAATGTTGCCAAAATAAAGTGTCGCATTAGTTGCAATTGTGTCCTTTTACCTAAAATATTGTTGGTAATTCTACCAACATTATTACAAACTTAAGCTTGATGCTGTGAACAAGCCTTACATTCGAGACTGAGCTGCTCCCATAGCCTTTGCCCATGCGTGAATCTGCAAGGTAGTTGTTTCCACGACCATAACATCTACCCTGTACGATGGGTACATAACACACTTGTGAGATAATATTGACAATTGTCCCATATATAGTTAAGGGCTGCAGTTTCAATGTACCAAACAAAAGAATGGAACTCTTTACAAAGACAAATACAAAAATCATAAAAACAATTTACTACTGTATATAGTAGAACCCCATGTTTGTGGATTCAGTTTCTGTGGTTTCAGTTATCCACAGTTTAATGTGGCCAGTGTAAAAGCCTTAATTTTGCTTAATAATGACCACAAAGCACTAGTGATGATGGCACTTCTTCAAAGCCAAAGAGAAGCCATAAAGTGCTTCCCAACAGTGAAAAAGTGATAATTCTCCACTTGTTGTGCATAATTTATCAATTAAACTTTACCTCAGGTATGTATGTAAACAAAAAAAAATTTATATATGTAGGGTTCGCTATTATCCATGGTGGGTCTTGGAATGTATCCCCCTGTGGATATGGGGGGGACTACTGTACTGTACATGAAAAATCTAGAAGGGCAAATCAGATTCCCACTTAATTTATGTGCATAATATTATTTGAAAATGCAACCCTATTAGTACATTCAAAGAATAACAATAAAGTGAAATACACCTCCCTAAATCCTAAGACCAAAGGACCACACAAATACAGTGGACCCTAGGGTAACGATTTTAATCTGTTCCAGAGAGTGTGTCCTTAACTGATTTTATCGCTAGCCAAATTAATTTTCCCCATAAGAAATAATGGAAATCCAATTAATCCGTTCCAGACACCCAAAAGTATTAAAAAAAAAATTTCACATGAAATATACAATTTCCTACACAGAAAACAATGATACATGAAGAATAAATACTACATAAACAATAAATACTACATGAAGAATAAATAACACTTACCAAAATTGAAGATTTATTGATGAGTGATGAGATGGGAGATGATGGAGGTGTATTATTGTCTGGAAGGGGAATCCCCTTCCATAGGGACTTTAGGTACCAAGTCCTTTTCTGGGGCTATTTCACTTCTTTTTTTAATGCCACTGGGAACAACTTGAAAGTCACTAGACCTCTGTCGCACCAAAAATCTGTCCATAGAGCTCTGTTTCTGGCATTCCTTTAAGATTTTCCTAAAATGAGCCACAACACTGTCAATGTAAAAGTCACCAGCATGGTTTGCACTAGCTGTGTCAGGGTGATGTTCATCCATAAAGGCTTGCACCTTTGTCCACATTGTACAAAAATCCTTAATTGTTGAGGAAGGCAACTTCCTCCCCCTTCTCTCCTCCCCTCCTCTGAAGCAATTTCCTCAGTTGTGGTCTCTTGCTGTTGCAGATGCCCTTGCAACTCATCAGTGGTTAGTTCTTCATTGTTGTCCATCACCAACTCTTCCACATCCTCCCCACTAACCTCCAACCCCATGGACTTCCCCAATGACACAATACATTCCACAACTGGATTAGGCTCCTCAGGGTTAGCCCCAAACCCTTCAAAATCCCTCTCTTGTACACATTGTGGCCACAATTTCCTCCAAACAGAGTTCGAAGTCCTGCAAGTCACTACCTCCCAAGCCTTACCTATAAGGTTTATGCTCCACTTTCTTGGTTTGCCTGGACCCCCCCCCCCCCTCTCATCTGCAACTGCTTGACAGAGTAGAGAACAGAGCAGGACATCTCATCTCTCACCTGGACCAATCCTGGATAGATCTGTCATTTCAGCAGAGCCTTCAACACAGGAGGGATGTGGGTAGCCTTACTGTTATGTACAAGACCAATATTGTCAAAGTACCACACTTGGATCCACTTCGAGGACAGCGAGAAACAAGCTTTCATGCCACAAGACGGGCAGAAAGCAGCAACTTCACTCTGGCTGTACCTTCTCCAGAACATCACTCCATCCCCCTTTTTTTTTTTGGGGGGGGGGGGAAAAAAAAAAATTAAAAAAAAACCCCCCCCAAAAAATTTTTTTTTTGGGGGGTTGGGGGGGTTTTTAAGTTTTCCCAAAAAACCCCCCAAATTAAAAAAAAAAAGGGGGTTTTTTTTTTTTTTTTTAAAAAAAAAACCCCCCCGGACAAAAACCCTTTTTGGGGGGGCCCCCCCCCCTTTTTTTCCCCCCCCCCCAAAAAATTTTTTTTTTCCCCTTTTTTAATTTTTTTTTAAAACCTTTTTTTTTCCCCCCCCCCCCCCCAACCCCTCCCTTCCCCTTTCCCCCAAAAAAAAACCCCTTTTTGGGCCCCCTTTTTTAAAAAACCCCCCCCCCCTTTTTTTTTTTTTTTTTCCCCTTTTTCCCCCAACCCCCCCCCCCCCCCCCTTAAAAAAAATTTTCCCCCCCTTTTTTTTTCCCCCCCCCCCCCCCTCCCCTTTAAAATTTAAAAAAAAAAAACCCCAACCTTAAACCCCCCAAACCTTTTTTTTCCCCCCCTTTTTTGGGGGGGGCCCCCCCCCCCTTTTTTAAAAACCCCGGGGGGGGGTTTTTGGGGGGAAACCGGTTTCCCCCCGGGGGGGGAAAAACCAAAGTTTTTAATTTTTAAAACCCTTTTTTCCCCCCCCAAAACCCAAAAAAGAAAAAAAAAATTTTTTAAAAAAAGGGGAAAAAAACCCCCCCCCCGGCCCCCCCCCCTTTTTTTTTAAAAACAAAAAAGGGAAAAAAAAATTTTAAAAAAAAAAAATTTAAAAATTTTCCCCAAAAAAAAAAAGGGTTCCTTTTTTTTTCCCCTTTAAAAAAAAAAAAAAAAAAGGGGAAAAAAAAATTTTTTTTTAAAAAAAAAAAAAAAAAAAAAAAGGGGGAAAAAAGGGAAAAAAAAAAAAAAAAAAAAAAGGGAGGGGGGGAAAAGAAAGAAAAATTTCAAAAAAAAAAAGGGGAAGAGAAAAAAGGGGGGGGAAAAAAAAAAAAAAGGGGGGGGAAAAAAGAGAGAGAAAAGGAAAGAGGGAAAAAGAAAAAAGGGGAAGAGAGAAGAAAAAAAGGGGGGGGGGGGGGGGGAAAAAAGAAAAGGAGGGAGAGAGAAAAAGGGGGGGGGGGGGGGGGGGGGGAAAAAAAAAAAAGGGGGGGGGTTTTTTTTTTTTTAAAAAAAAAAAAAAAAAAAAAAAAAAAAAAAAAAATTTTTTTTTTTTTTTTTTTTGGGGGGGGGGGGGGGGGGGGGGGGGGGGGGGGAAAAAAAAAAAAAAAAAAAAAAAAAAAAAAAGGGGGGGGGGGGGGGGGGGGGGGGGGGGGGGGGGGGGGGGGGGTTTTTTTTTTTTTTTTTTTTTTTTTAAAAAAAAAAAAAAAAAAAAAAGGGGGGGGGGGGGGGGGGGGGGGTTTTTTTTTGGGGGGGGGGGGGGGGGGGGGGGGGGGGGGGGGGGGGGGGGGGGGGGGGGGGGGGGGGTTTTTTTTTTTTTTTTTTTTTTTTTTTTTTTCCCCCCCCCCCCCCCCCCCCCCCCCCGGGGGGGGGGGGGGGGGGGGGGGGGAAAAAAAAAAAAAAAAAAAAAAAAAAAACCCCCCCCCCCCTTTTTTTTTTTTTTTTTTTTTTTTTTTTTTTTTTTTTTTTTTTTTTTTTTTTTTTTTTTTTTTTTTTTTGGGGGGGGGGGGGGGGGGGGGGGGGGGGGGGGGGGGGGGGGGGGGGGGGGTTTTTTTTTTTTTTTTTTTGGGGGGGGGGGGGGGGGGGGGGGGGGGCCCCCCCCCCCCCCCCCCCCCCCCTTTTTTTTTTTTTTTTTTTTGGGGGGGGGGGGGGGGGGGGGGGGGGGGGGGGGGGGGGGGGGGGGGGGCCCCCCCCCCCCCCCCCCCCCCCCCCCCCCCCCCCCCCCCCCCCCCCCCCCCCCGGGGGGGGGGGGGGGGGGGGGGGGGGGGGGGGGAAAAAAAAAAAAAAAAAAAAAAGGGGGGGGGGGGAAAAAAAAAAAAAGGGGGAAAGGGGAAAAAGGGGAAAAAAAAAAAAAAAGGGGAAAAAAAAGGGGGAAAAAAAGGGGGGGGGAAAAAAGGGGAAAAAAAAAAAAAAAAAAACCCCCCAAAAAAAAGGGGGGAAGGGAAAGGGGGGGGGGGGGAAAAAGGGGGGAAAAAAAAAGGGGGGAAGGGGGGAAAAAACCCCCTTTTCCCCCGTAATTCCTTGGAAAATTTGGGGTTTTTTTAAAGGAAAAAAAACCCCCCAAAATTTTAAAAAGGGGGGGGGCCCCTGGGGGTTTTCCAAACCCCCCCAAAAAAAACCCCCCAAAAAAAAAAAAAAGGGGGGGGGGGGCCCAACCCCCCCCAAAAAAAAAAAAAACCCAAGTTTTTTAAAAAAGGGAAAAGGAAAATTTTGGAAAAGGGAAAAAATTTCCTTTAAAAAAAAAAGGGGGGCCCGGGGAAAAAATTTTTAAAATTTTTTAAAATTTCCCCCCAAAAACCCTTTTTTTTAAAATTTTCCCAAAAAAGGGAAAAAACCCCCCCCCCAAAAAAAATTTTGGGGGGGGTTTTTGGGGGGAAATTTGGGAAAGGACTTTCCCCCCAAAAAACCCCCTTTAATTCCCCCCTTTTTTTTTTCCCCCCTTAAAAAGGGGGGGTTTTTTGGGGAAAAAAAAAACCCCCCTTTTTTTCCCCCCAAAAAAAAAAGGTTTTGGAAATTTCCCAAAAAGGGGGAGGGGTTCCCCCCTTTTTAAAAAAAAAAAAAGGGGGGGGGACAAAAAAAATTTTGGGGGAAAAACCCCCCCCCCCCTTTTTTCCCTTTTTAAAATTAAAAAAAAAACCCCCCCCGGGCCTGGAAAAAAATTTTCCTTTTAAAAAAACCAAATTTTGGGGTTTTTTTGGGGGGGAAAAGGCCCCCTTTTTCCCCCCCTTTGGAATTAAACCAAAAAAAAAAAAAAAAAACCCCCCCTTTTTCCCAAAAAAAAAAAAGGGTTCAAAAAACCCCCGGGGCCCAATTGGAAAAACCCTTTAAAAAAAAAAAAAAACAAAAAAATTTTTAAAAAAAATTTTCCCCTTTTCCCCCCCCTTCCTTTAAAATTTTTTCCCCTAAAAAAAAAGGGGGGGGGGGGGGGGAAAAATTTAAATTTAAAAAAAAAAAATTTTTTCCCCCCGGG